ATTGCACTTAACCCTGTTTAGAAGTAATATGACCTATACTTTTTTCATCAGGTTATGGGAAGAGGAGATATTGTGTTTGCTCAAACAGTAAAAGTTCCAGAAGTGACTGTGCACAAGTTTAGTTTCTTGCTCACTCATCGTATGGCTCCAAAGGCCCGAGTAGTAGTATATTACGTTCGTAAAGAAAACAAAGAAGTAGTAGCCGATGCTGTCAACTTTGAAGTGGATGGTGTTTTTAGAACAGGGGTTTGTACAATTTTCAGTTTGTAAAGTGCATCTTTTAGTTTCTTAAACATATCATTGATACTAGGAAGTTAGAAAGATATTTTACAGTCCTTTACATGTTTTTTTATTACTAGTTGCCTCAAGGATATTATTTCACTAGAACAAAACATTTTTATGCTTGTATTAGAATAATCTTATGAAGCCCAAGTAAAGTCAAATTTTTTTTAACATAAAGAGTACTAACTGGTTATTAAAATGTCTTGCACTCCCCTCCTCCCGATAATAAAACTATCTACCTCTACCCTCAATAATAAAACTATCTAGGTTTATATAAATCACATGTTCAAGTTTATTTCTTTTCCATCATCATGACATCTTACTTGTACACAATTTGTACTTAAAATTCAAACTGCTATCATGTCGTGTGAAATTATCCCTACCAAATTTCATTCAAATTTTCTTTCATTTATAAATGTTTGAGTTTTGCATTGACAACACACAAGTAATAAATTGTTTGAAATTCAGATTTAAATGAGTTTCATGAAAGACTATCTCCTTTTTTCTTAGAATATCAATTAATCATAAACATTTAATTTTACGTACATAAATTTTTGTTTAGAGTTTCATGGTAAAGTAAGTAAGAAGTTTAATGTAATGTTTGATGTCGAATACGACTTTGTTTTCAAAATACTTTTTATACTGTTGGTATTCTTTATTTTTAGGTTATCCTCAGTACAGATGTACAAACAACAAAGCCTGGTGGCAGGGTAGCAGTGCAAGTCCAAACTAAGCCTAATGCATATGTTGGAGTGTTAGGTATTGACCAAAGTATTCTGTTATTGAAATCTGGAAATGACATAACACAACAAGATGTAAGTACTAATAGTTAACAGTGTCTGACATGTTCTATTTTATTATCTAGCTAGTAAATGTGTTTTAATATTCATCATAGTAAGTCACATTAAGAAACTTTAAAATTCCAAATGTAATAATTATTTTCAGCACGACAAAATAAAGTACCATTTATGTAAGCTATGAAAACCTATAATTGGGGGGGGGGGGTCTTTGATTTTAAATGAAACACTGTGGGTTATCCACAGACAAATAATTAAAGTATTAAAGAGACTAACTAGTCTATTTCGCACAAGTATCTTAAGATATGATCGATGCAAGAACATCAAGATATAAACTGGTTTGTATAAGAATGAGATGGTTAAGTATCAAAACAGTTAGATCTTATTGTCAAGTTTTTTCATTTGTTTTTGAGGATCTCTTAAAGTTTATTTTCACAAGTAGCTTATCAGTATTTTGGTTATTCACAAAGTAGAATAATAATATTTGAATCTAAGCACTTCATCGCATTTGACACTTTGATATTCCTTAACTTTGAAAGTCAAATGTGCTCAACCTCGACATTAGTGTCTGTAAAATCTAATAACATATATCTTGGTTGGAACAATTTGCATTAAGATTGAATAAATAACATAAGCAAATATTCGTAGAACAATAGTACTAATGCTGTTTTGTGAATTTATTAGATTGTTAAAATATTTTCAAATTTATTAAGCTTACTCTAAATGAAATGTGAAGTCTTGTTAAAAAATTGTTTTGGGAAGTAAAGCCTATTAAAAACTTTGAAAAACTTACTAAAGGCAGCTCTACAAGGTCACTTGTAATTTGCCAAATTTTTATGATAAATAAATACTTGATACTGTGTTTTGATCTGTTTTTTAATTTTTGTGGTTGTTTATAAAAAATTTGTTTATTATATAAAAAAAAAGTGATCTGGTAAAAATAATGACTGTAATGACTGGTCAGGGTATCAGCAGCCTTAGAAGAATGTGTGATATCAGTAGTGTACTTTTCAAATCTCACATGCATATATGTATATACACACACACACACACACAGAGCTTAGAAATATGTTTGTTACATTTTGTATATGATGGAAGTGATGCTATTTATGCAGGTTACAGAAGAACTTGGCACTTACGATGCTGGCAAGGAAAACATATTTTGGCCTCCATGGTACAAGCGACGGAGGAAGCGCTCCCTTTGGTGGCCAGGTTCTATTTCTGCATCACAGATATTTAGTGTAAGTTTAGTATTAATTAATAAAGACTTCATTCACTTATTGATCTTTTGTTGTTTACACACACTTATCTGCAAAAAAGAAAAAATAAAGTGTATTAAGTTTACAAAATTTACAATCTCCTTGCATTTTTTTAACAATGTATGATAAAAATATTATTAAAAAATGCTAAGAAATATGTATACATGTATGACAGTTTTATAGTTTATTCATATTTAAACTCATGCTTGTGATTAAACAGATACAAAAACATTTAAAGGTAAAGAAATGATCTTATCTGTGAAATTTTGGAGTTGTATGTTCAGTATATAAAATCTGGATTATTCTGTTGTAATAATTTAACTGAAGTTAATGATGTTCATTTTTTAAGGATTCTGGGGTTGTGATTCTTACCAATGGCCTTGTGTACAAGTATGAAGAATTGAGTAAGTATCTTAATTATATAACATAAGCTTTATAATTTGATCTTTGTTAGAATTTTTTCACACTGATTACAAATATTTATTCATTGACATTTTTTACCCATTTTTTTGAAGTAATTACATGCAACTTTTGTGAACTGAAATTCACATTCTGCAAACAGTTATAAATTTTAAATAATCAGTTACACTATAACGAATAAAAGTGCAAGCACTACAGTCAAGTTTGCAGCAATAATGTGGTGATTCTTACATTATAGCAGCTCCTCTGAACCATTTTCCAGGTAAAAACAGTTTAATTTACAGTTCAGCCCTTCATATGGTTAGATCATAATTTCAAAAAAGTCCTGAACTTGTGACTTTAGGTTGAGTAGTCTTGTGATGGTTAAACTAGCATATAAGCTTTTTATCTAATGTGAGAAGTTTAGTAAATTAGTCATTAGCTCGCAGACCTGGATATGAAAATTATAAATACTATAAACATCAAGATTTTAAGTGGCTTTTAAGAAGTATAGATTGTAATTTGTATTAGAAACACAAAATATGATTTATACGTGCTAATGTTTAAGAAAAAAAATTTGTTAATGGTGTTATAAAGTCAAATTTATTTTCATTAAAATGTAAATTTTTTTCACACACCACGCACAAATAATTTTTGTTTGAAGTATTCTATAGATCCAATTCAGTAGCCTTTGAAGAAATTGAGGATGATTTTGCTTCACCATTTTTGGAAAAAGTTCAGTCTGTACGTAACAAAGGTGTTAAACTTCGAAAATATTTTCCTGAAACATGGCTTTGGAGTAACACGGAAGCAGGGTATGGTTATTAACCTTTAGAACGGAATGGCCAGAATGAAGTTAGGCATATCTAGTAAAAAGAAATATTTCACAATATTTTTCTGTAGGAACTTCAACATTCTTGTGAAAACAAATTTATTTATTGAACAGAATTCTAAAATTAAAGTTAGAGTTGTTCTCATAAAGCTCTAGTACCTTGTTGACTAAACCATTTAATTCTTCCCTTTACCCTTACCAGAATAGGGATGAACCAGTTAAAAACTGAAGAAAAACTTGTATGAATTGAACATTTAGAGATTAACATGTTGAATATATCAACACTTGTTCACATATCACTCCAATTTCAAGTTGAATGATATTATTAATATATATTGAAAGACCCAGGGTTCAAGACATCAGTGCTGAACTAAGCCACTGTTGATAGCAAAGCAAGACACAAAATGGAGGGGCTCATAGTATTTAAAAAAAAATGTGAAGAAATTTTACAACAGAATGATCTGATATGTTTGTTATTGGATCAGTTGTGTGGTGTTTGTGTTTTGCATCTTTTGCAATAACTCTTGAAATTATCTGTGGAGGTCCATCAGAGCAAAGGGCTCTAGACTCTGTAAGACATGATACTGTTGAATATGTTTTGCACTTTCAGCTGTGAACTTTTTGTTACAGTCCATCTCATTATTCAGTTCAAAATCCTTTGTGAGAGCAGATGCTGCTGGTTGGCAGCCTTCTGTTATCAGTAGTACACAATTATAGATGGTTACATCTGAACCTTAGGGGGGTCTCTGAATTGGCTATTTAGCCTGTTTGTGTGTGTAAGGTGACACTGATGTTGAAAGCTCCAATGTTACAACACTTCATTACTTTAAAACATTGTGTATAAGTTGTTTTATTTCTGCTGTGCCTTTCTGTTTGTATAGGAAGTGAGATCATTTCCACAGTTCTTTTTTACTTTGAACCAAATTACATGCTCACAATGATTTGTAATTTCTGTTAGGTTGTAAACTTTTTTCTTTCCTTTTTAAGTGATGTTTTACAGCAACTGTTTTAAGAATGTATTATGTTCTCTTGATTTTATTCTCCTATCTACTGGAATATTCATATTTTGTATTAAATTTCAAAGTATCATATAATTCATAGGTAAGAAATGCTGTACGTAAAAACTATTATTAATAGAAACTACTTAAGTAACTTTTAAATCTCTTAGAAATATTCTTACATACCAATGCTAAGCTATATAATTCTGTTACTAGTTTTACTTTTGAATAGGAAAGCATAAATTTACTATGCTGTAAGGTAGACAATATTTAGTTTTATCAAGCATATATCCCAAAAATAAAACACTTCATTAAAATAATAATCTCAAAATAATATATTAACAGTTAACCATGTTGTACATTCTAATTAAAAGTTAATGACAACATATATAAATTGCTTTCAGTTATGTGAGAATTTACTTAATTACTATAGGCAGTGGAAAATATTGTATATTAAAAGCTTGATCAATCCCATAAGCAAAATGATTAACTTTGCCATAAAAGGAGATGTTTTAGAGCAACAGCTAAGATTGGCAGTGGTAAGATTTTGTCATATCTAAACAATACTTGCATTTAGGTCCTTTCAATAAGATATTCTACGCTGGGTCTGAAATTTGATTTTATTAGGATTCCCTCTTCCCCCGTTTTTTTTTTTCTCTCGTGATATGAATAAGAAAATATTTTCATTTGCAAGTTACTTATTAGTTGTCCTAATGATTCTGGCCATTCTGAAATGCCTTTTATCTAACAAGTGAAGCTTGCTTAAGCCTACTTTTAATTAACATACTAAAGTCTGATGCTCTGTATTTATAATATTAGAACATTACTTTAACCATTACCATGCTGTTTGCTTACAGTTTTTTTTAAACTATTACCATGCTGTTTTCTTACAGTTTTTTTAAACCATTACCACGCTGTTTGCTTACAGTTTTTCTTTCAATGCTTGTTAAATGTATTTTCGTGTTCATGTATGTATGAGTGAACTGGAGAAAAACTTTCAGTTGTGTGTATTATTTGCTAGATCTGTAAGATATACTTTGTATTCATCTGCAGAGATCATGATTTTTGCAGCGTATGTGTCTAAACTATGTTTTATAGGAAATGTACAGTTGTTTTATTCACATTTGTAAGTGTAAAATTTTTTTTTTTTTTTGTCTGAAAAATTATGCTGAGAAATATTAATAATGAAACAATTATTTTGGACTGTGTTTTAGTTTTGAGCTGAATGTTATGTAATATTACTAGTCTTCTATGCCTTTTTATGGATGTTAATGTGTCTGATTGAAGTTGTCTATATCATATTCAAGAGTAAAATGATATTAAATCTTGGAAGTATCTACCAGGTCATGTCCTTAACAAGGAAAAACATTGTTAGAAAAACATGGGTATTCTAAGTTGTTTTTTTTAATTGAAATAATATTTACATTGTAACTTTCATTTCTGCTTTCAAAGTTAAGCTTATTATGTAATAAAATATTTTTAATTATTGCTTGTAGATTGGAGCATTTTGTTTTTAATGATGAACAAGTTCTGTTTTGGGCCAAAATATTATTCCTAGAGTAATAGTTGTGATATTCATAATTTGACAGTAATTTAACATAATTACAATTGAAGTAATACAATAGGGGTCCCATATCATAACTTGGAAGAGTGGTTGTTGGATTAAATTGTTGTAGTAGTCTTTTTTTTTTCTCTCCACTGCATGGTGCTGTGCATTGTGGCTTTGGTGTTAGTGACATTCTTTGCATGATAGTGTGGGGTTTCTTTAACTACACACAACAAAACATAAACCTGTAAAACATTTTACTGATTATATGTAACTATTGAT